ATCAACGCGGTCACCTGATTACTCGTTGCTGGTTTCTTCCGACGTAGCCAGGAGATGTTGACGATTCCGCCTCAGAATCTTTCCATTTTCTGTTGCCACTTGGTATGACCTGGGCGCGACAGCTCCCATCACCCTAGCCTTTCGAGACCAGACCTGGCCTCTGACTCTTACGACCTCTCCCTGTTGGAGAGGGTCAAGTCGTCGTCCTGCTGTTTCCGGCTGGCGATGCTTTTTGACGGGAGATCTCGGCTGTTGGCTGAAGTCCGGGAGCCGCGTACGCAGGCGCCTTCCCTGCAGCAGTTCTCCTGGAGCACGGCCATCTTCTAAGGGTGAGGAGCGGTAATTAAGTAAACCCAACCAAAAATCTTCGTGGGCATCCCTTGTTTTTTTTTAAGAGCCTCTTAATGATTTGCACGCCCTTTTCTGCGAGGCCATTAGAACGCGGAAACTCCGGGCTAGAAGTGATGTGCTTGAACTCGTACTGTTTGGCGGATGCCGCGAAGTCACGGGACAAGAATTGCGGCCCGTTGTCAGAGCAGACTTCTACTGGTATCCCATATCTTGCGAAAATGGCCCCCAGTTTGTCGATTACGTTTCTTGCAGACGTATCGGTCAGCTTTTCCACCTCTGGGAAATTTGAGTGCGAGTCAAATACGGCGAGATAGGTACTTCCCGCATATTGAAAGAGATCAATTCCTACCCTGTACCAAGGTTGATCTGGGGTTTTTCGCATCAGAAGAGGTTCACTCGGCTGCCTGTATGCATACTTTTTGCAAGTTCCGCATTTGCTTACGATAGCTTCCATGTCCGCATTTAAACCCGGCCAGAAAACCAAACGCCTTGCCCTAGCCTTGCATTTGTTGACACCGAAATGCCCTTCGTGAATGCGCCGCAGCGTTTCCGGACGTAGTTTCTTGGGAACAAGTACTTTACATCCTTTCAGAAAAATTCCTTCTACAACAGAAAGCTCAGAAGTGAACGGTTTCAGTTCCCCTTCGATTTTTTTGTTAAGAGATATGTTTTCCTCAACTGCTTGCAACTCAGGGTCGTTGTTTGTTTCCCGCGCAAAAAGCAGTTTTGTTTCATCACTCACTAGTGATGCCAGAATGCCGACCGCATGGACCTGCACGTCGGTGAAACCGGCCGTGTCCCCCGACGCAGCAGATGTCGCCCTTGAAAGCATGTCAGCCAGGACCAGGTGTTTACCTGGAATGAACTGTAGTACATAATCGTAGATCAGTAGCCGAAGAAAAAATCGCTGTAGTCTTGGTGGCATTGCACCGATGTCCTTTGTTGAAATGGCAATCAGTGGTTTGTGATCAGTTTCTATTAAAACCCGCCGTCCATAGACAAAGTGATGGAATTTTTCACAGCCGTACGTAATTCCCATGGCCTCTTTTTCAATCTGTGAATAGCACTTTTCTGCGTCGGTCATTACCCTTGAAGCGTACGCGACCGGGCGCCAGTCACTGCCATGACGCTGCAGCAGCCCGGATCCCAGACTATCTCGTGAGGCATCTGACGTTATTTTCGTTTCCTTGGCAGGATCGAAAATTGCCAGTAAGGGTTGGCTTCTAAGGGCTTCGCAGATTGTGTTCCATTCTTGCATGTGATTTTCCGTCCACTCGAACACAGTGTTTTTCCGAATTAGGTCTCGAAGAAGCTTTGTTCTCTCCGTCAAAGCGGGCAAATATTTCCCAAAATAGTTCACGACTCCAAGCATGCGTTGTACCGCGAGCTTATCGGCAGGTACTGGCATGTCACGTAAACAGCTTACTAATGTGGGAATGGGACGGATTCCATTTTCGCTAATGACATCGCCCAAGAAATCTATCTCTTGTACACCGAACTTGCACTTTTTCAAGTTGAATGTTAACCCGGCACGTTGTGCTTCGTACAGCGTGGCTTTAAGGCGCTCATCATGTTCTCGTTTAGACGATCCCCAGACCAAAATATCGTCCACGTAAACCCTTACACCTGGCAAAGTATCAAATATTTCGCTCCACGTTTTCTGGAAGACTTCCGATGCTGAGGAAATACCAAAGGGAAGACGAAGGAAACGGTAGCGACCGAACGGGGTGCCAAACGTGCATATCTTTGACGTCGCTTCGTCTAACGGAATCTGGTGAAATCCCGAGTTGGCGTCCAGTCTACTAAAGAACACAGCTCCAGAAAGTTCGGCCTCGATCTCCTCGCGTTGTGGCATTTGGTAGTGTTCACGCTTCAGGGATGCGTTAACATTTCTCGGGTCCATGCATATCCTGAGGCTGCCGTCACTTTTCTTTACCAGAACAAGAGGGCTTACCCAGTCTGTGGGCTCATCTACTTTCCGGATGATGCCCGATGCCTCCATTCGCCGTAGTTCGTCTCGTAGAGGCTCCCGTAGCGTCAAGGGCACCCGACGAGCAGGCTGGACCACTGGGATCGCGTCGTCACGTAGCACCATTCGGTACTCTCGTTTCACACACCCCGTGCCTTGAAACAGTGGGCGGAATTCCTCTAGAATGGGCGCAACGTTCTCTTCCGTTACAGCGTCCACCGCTCGTGATACTAGTCCCAGACACTCGCTCGCTTGCAGCCCAAGATTGGCCTGGCTTCGTTTGACGATGAAGAAGTCGATTTGCCAGTGACGCTTGTTGATGATCACCTCCTGCGTTACGACACCGATGTGTTTAATGACATTTCCGCTGTATGAGCGAAGAACGGCGTTGCTCGGCATTACGACGGGCTTTGTCCGGAATCTGTTGTACACAGAGAGAGGCAGTAGATTGGCTTGTGACCCCGTGTCTACTTTCAGCGAAACTTGTTGTTCGGACACTTGGGCCTTGACAATCCAATCCCGTTCTTTCTTGATGCCGCAAACGCTCACGTCCAAGATGTCGAAATCCTCGCCATCATGCTGCACCTCACCGACATCACGTTTCCTGCAACAGGCTGCGAAGTGGTTCCTTCCTTGACAGGCGCGGCAAATTTTTCCGAACGCGGGACATTTCCGCGGCTCATGTTTCCTGTTGCACTTGGGGCACTGATTGGTGGCTCTCGAACCCTCCGCATGGCGCCGGTAGCTTCTTGTGGTAGAGTCCACTGTTTGTTCGGGAGCGTGCCACGCTTCATTTTGTTTGTTGGCGACTTCTGCGGCCTTGCAAATTTGTTCTGCTTTTTGGAGCTTCAAATCTATCTCCCGCAGCATTTTTTCGCGCAGCTTCTTGTTGCTGGTGCCAAATACCACTTGGTCACGAATCATGGAATCTGACAATTCACCAAAGTTGCAATACCTTGCTTGTTTTCTCAGGTCACAGATGAACTGCTCCACCGGCTCCGCTTCGCCCTGCATTCTTGTACGGAAGACGTATCTTTCATACACCTCATTTTGCTGGTCAGAACAGTAGTCCTCGAACTTCTTCACCACAGCCTCGTAGTTAGTCTTGCCTTCTTCCTCGGCAAACGTGAAGTTGTTGTACACTTCCAGGGCGTCGTCACCGGCGATGAGCAGCAGCGTTGCGGTTTTGGCAGCGTCCGTCCTTGTTTTTTTCTGGCGCCGTGGCTTGAAGGTACAATTCAAACTTCTGCTTGAAGAGCGTCCAGTTTTTGGTAGCGTTTCCAGACAGGAGCAGAGGGTCGGGCGGCTTCGGCGGTTCCATGACCGCCTGTCTAGATTGTGGCTGCGTGAGCCACTCCTGACACCATGTATCGTTCAGCACTCTGTTCACAAGTCAGACCGACGCAGCCAGCTCCGATGATCAAAAAGCCCTTGGTCGTTTTATTGTCACTGCTTATATAGCCGTTTACACACAGATAAGAGAGGGGGCGGTGCTGACGGCATGGGGGCGGCACTGCCGGCATGACAGGACAGGACAGGGCAGGGCAGGGCAGGGCAGCATGAGTTTGCACGATACAGACCAGGCGAACATAATGTCCGGGGCTAAGGCGCACGGAAAGTTGAGTAATTAACTAAAATATGTCGAATAAATTTGTAATTAGTAAAAAGAAACATATAGTTTCAATGAGAAGCTTGCTGAGCGTAGTAAAAAACATCAAGTCACTAAATGTGAGCAAGATTTAGAGCACCTGAGAAACGCGGTTGTGCTCCAAGGTTACGGCTTGAGTAACAGGTGCAACACTATTGGTGACTCAAAGCACGTGCTTTCAGGCTTTCACGGAACAGCTTCCTGCTTTCTCCATCATGCGACCAACAATCCCGTTGCATAAACTTAAATTAGCGCGAGACCGTCTGGGCAGGCTCGAATGTGGAGCGCTAGGCGCCGTTTGTTCAGTTGGAGTCGCCAATAGTAGTGCGAAAACAAGTATATATATACCGGCAACGTCGCGCACCTAAATCACACCCGCGCTTTCCACGTACTTCAAATCCTTGTAAAATTTGATGAAGAAATGGTTCTCGATAACGGTCAGCAAGTTTATAGTTGAAACCACATGTTTCTTTTCACTAATTTTTAAGTTCGTCCACAAATTGTGTTTATTTTTTTTATTTTTTTACATATCGTGACGATTAGTCTGATATATTTGTCTCCCTGGTCGTGCGACTACCGCGTCAGTGTGGATTGAACTGTTTGCCTTAGGCCAAATTTCTGAATACTAAAATCAATAACAGTTTAAATATGTGATGTGACTGCGACGGTTATTAGCGACAATGATTGCCGTTTAGTTGGAAGTTGCTGTGTTAATCTCTATTGATTAATGATTCCTGCGAGAGTAACTGACTCCGAAAAATGCATTTTCTACGTGTGAGGAGTTTAGTTGTTATCAACGTAGTGCCACAGTTTTTTGCTCCGTCTTAGAACAAACGCTCGGTATATTACTATAGTACATATTTCTTCTATTCTGTAGTTATCAGGACTGACAGATATGTCGTCGTGAACTCACTAACCGTTGTTTTATACATCATTTGAAATGGTGGAGGCATTTTGTGTTTTGACATGACTTCAGCAATTCAACATCAAATTCATATTTTTGCCATTCTGCGATTCCCCTAATGCTTCAAGGGACAAGAACACCACAGGCTTTCCTTCAGTTCGCCTGGGAAGTACGAAAAAAACCAATTATACCGTACATTGTCAACGAAATAAAGGCAAAAATGACCATCTAGGAAGGGTCCATGACGATCTGGAAGATCAGGTCATTTGCATGGAAGTGGACTATGTCTGTGTACCCCATCAGGACAACTGTATATTTTTTATAGTATGTATTCTTCTTAAAAAAAAAAAAAAAAACTGAATTTGTATCTGTTATAACTAACCTTCTTATTTTACAGAAAGACCTTGCACTATTGAAATTAAAAGAACCGGTCAATTTTACAAGGTATATTCGCCCAATCTGCCTTCCTCAACACTGCGAAGAACCGCCTTCAGATGCCAGCATCTACGGTGCGGGCTGGGGCATGACTTATGGTAAATGGTATTCTCGCCTCATTTTGTTCACATATCAATTATCCTCAACAAATAAGAAAGAAAAACACATATTTATGAAAATATAAACCTCAAGCCTCTCAATACGACAGATTCCTGTAGCACGCGACAGAATCCTGTCATTGAGAGGCCGCGGATGCGTAAATGCTAAAAACAATGCCACCGAATGCGGGCCCTTCCATATGTTTTCTTAATCTATTTCTTTGGACCGGCCTGCAGGCACACGCTAGTTTTTGAAATATCTGGTACAAGAGCGATGTTTTTTACATGTTAGCGTTCATTGATCGGGGGTGTGGATAGATCCACTTTGAAAAACAGGAACTAGCAATAAAACAAAGCATGCATCCTTATGTACACGCTCACTATATTAGTTCTTTCATGGATGTACGTAATATAGTGAATATTTTATATTATGTATATTCCAAACCAATATTATGAAATGTCTCTATACTTACACTGTATTGAGACATGGCAGCATACTGGTACATGTGATAATAAAGGCTATGAACGCCATCGACTAACCTAACTCGTAACACAGACGTCGCCGACAAACTTTTGAAACTGATAATTGACCAAAATTTAACCCTTTTGTATGAAATTTACGTGCATGATCATATAGTCACTGCAACAATCAGTATTAGGAAAGTTAACATTCACGCAAATCTGATTCTCCGAGTACTGGGCGTTTAGCACAGCACAACTCGCAGTTTCAAGGGTGTTCGCCGCATGTTTGATACGTGACTAGATTATTTTTTTGGAGCTAAAGCAATCAAATGAATGCAGTTTGCCAAAACAACTTAGTTGTTTTGGCAATTATTGATGCACAATTAAGTCTGACAACGAGCGCCGTCTGCCAACTAGTCTTCAAATTCCAAATGAAGGGCAGCTCAACTTGCCACTGCCCGTCAAATTACATTGGCATCGTGCAGTTGTATTATTGTTGGCGCTTGTGGCCCATACTAACGTATATTTAAACAAAAATTTAAAAACTAAAAAGTTAAGCGTGAAAATCGATAGTGGATGTGTTGGTTGAACGGAACTTTGCCCTGCAAAAATTACGACAGCTGGAAGGAATGCCAGCCGAGGGGGTGTACGCATGCGCTGATTACTTTTAAAAAGGTCCACTGCTATCAATATTGTGTTTAGAACATCGTTCCGTAGCTTAAGTTTTCAATGATTGTATTGCTTCCGAAGAAGGTTTGAGCCGGACATCCGTAAAACATAAATTGTGTTAAAGCGGCAGCCTTACAGGCCCAATACATCTTGACGCCTCGTAACGTGTGATGCTGAAGTGCTCGTGGCTCAGGCGATGGTGGCTGAAGCTTCAGCTCTGGTCTGCTAAGCTCCGGTCATGCTAACTTCGGTCGCGTGTTTTCGGAAGCGCCGGTCGCCTAAGCTGACGTGACCTGATGTTCTCGACGTTATCCTACACTCTAAAAAAAGGGAGGAGAAATGGAGGAAAAAGCGACGTTCCTCCCTGTCGCCTGCAAAAGGGAGGAAATCGCACCCGTTCCTCCATTTCACCGATTTAGATGCAGCGCCACCTGATGGCGCTTGAAAAAGGGACGAAAATTCCTCCATGTCGCGGCGGCAGCGGCGGTTGAACCGCCGCTGTCGCCGCGAACATGTTCAATGGCGGTGACGGCAACCTGAGGGTTTGGTTACCGTTACCTATCCCACTACTGCCCATGCGGGATGCTAGGAAAGAAAAAGCGGAGCTGCGGGGGCTGGCGAAGATACACTAGATTAATAAAAAACAAAAAAACGAAAAAACAAAAAAAGCGAGGCGCGTAGCGCGGCGTGCGTGTCGCAAGAATCACGCGATTGGTTCGGTGTCGATGCGTTGTTGCTGTTGTCGGGTGTTCTACTTGTGTTTCGTGTATTCTGTGTGTTCAGTGTTGTATGTGTATTTACAATGTGGCGGTCAAGGGGGGGAGGGGGAAATTGGAAAACAAATTGACACTTCACCAACATATTTTTTTTTGTTGTTTTGAGCGCCATCTGGTGGAAGATATATGAATTACTCGAGGGGAGAAAGTTTCCTCCATTGGGCGAAAAAAGGTGGCAATTGTCCTCCCTTTTTAGGAGAGGAACTTTTTCTCCACGAGCCGAAATAGGTGGCAACTTTCCTCCCTTCCTAGGGGAGAAAATTTCCTCCCGTTTTGTAGGAGGAAATTTTCTCCCTTTGTAGAGCAATATATGATACACGCGAGTTCCTCCTTTAAGGGAGGAAGTACTACTCCCTTTTTTTCAGAGTGTAGAGGTTGTCCTTGAGGTCGCCCTTGAGGCAGACATCGAAGTTGTCTTAGATGTCGTTCTTAACGTCGTCCACTAGGACGTCGTCCTAAACGTCCTTTCTTGACGTGGTGCTGAGTGCATGTACGCCATATTGAAACATCGAATTAATTACCGCACAACATATTTTCTTATTTTTTTTCACTAATGTTCCTGGAAAGCTGCAGCATTTCATCGCGTTTGGTAGAATGAAAAAAGCTGCATCAATTTTGTCACACAGAACGTATTTATGGGCTGGATTTCATGAAATTGTGTAACTCTTTCAATCCTTTCAAACGAAATTCATCATGGAGCTAACCTCAAACCATGCGACCTTTAATCCGACGTCTTATTTTCGCCGCCGCAAGTAGGAGATGAAAAAAAGCACAAGAAAGTGAACTGTACGACTTGGCGCTAACCCTCGTCAGCGGTAGCGCGTTTTTTGTCCGTGGCGAGGGATGCGTAGTTAAGCATACTTGGTTATGCATACTTTGCTTTCAGGCGATATGCGAGGCGAGTTTTGCCTAGTCAAATATACACAGTCCGCATTGAACCGTCGGCATAGTCACACATTGTCCAGCATACTTATGCCGCAGTATACAGTCGCTGTTGAATAATACTTCATCTAGCATACTTGGTTGCCAGGCCGTCGCCAGCGAGTTACATTAAGTGCAAAATACTTCGTTCACAGACGACCTTCGGCTGCAGGTCATACTTAACCCAGCATTCTCAGCCCGCAGGCGACCGTTGTACATGGTCCGCGGGCGAGCGGCCGGGGGTGGGTTATACCTAGTCCAGAATACCTCGTTCACCAGCGACCGTCGGCAGCGAACAATACTAAGCCCGTAATACTAATTCCACACGTGACTGTCGGCGGAAAGTCATACTTTGTCCGGCACACTTTGTCTGCAGGCAACCTGTTGTGGGCCACTCAAACTTAGTTTAGCGAACTTAGTGTGTAAGCAGCCGTCGGAGACGAGTTAACTTGGTCCAGCATGATAGCCGCAGAAGACAGTTCGTGGCAACTCATGTCTTGTCCATCATACTTAGTCCGTAACCTAAAGTCACCGGTATGTTATACGTAGTCCAGCGCAGTGAGTCTTCGGACGATCGTCGACGGGGACACATGCTCATTAAAGCAAACTTAGCAGGCAGCCATCGGAGGTGAGTCATGCCTCCGACGGCTGTCTCGCACAATCTCAGCATACTGAGATCGTGAGAGTTAGTGGCGTGATCGATGCTTAGTTCATTATGCTCTCCATACTCCGCAGATGGTCGTCGGCAGCCCAGTCAGACTCATTCCAACATAATCATACTTAGATTAGATAGTAACCGACACTACGATCTAGTGAAGGCTGTCAAGCACTATAAGCCATGCAAAACCACGGAGATGGTTTTCTTTGTGAGTTTGCTATCATAGGCTAAGCTAATTCCGCGGCCAACATTCTGGGACATTCCGTGGAATGTAACGTTTTCAAGGAAACATCACAAATCTAATTTCAACTTTCAACTACAACTTTCTTGGTTCTCTGCAAGAGAGAAGGGGAGAGAGAAAAAAACTGACTGTTGTCGCTTGACAGCGTTTCTTATCCCCACCAGCAAGATGAACTATTTTACAGACTCGTGATCCGTACAGCAAAGTTTACATAGAAGCAAAACACACCATTAAACGAAAAAGGACCCGAGATGCCTTACAAGCATTTCTTAAAGGTCAAAGATTGAATCGTACTAGGCACAAATAAAGGTCGATCTACGAACTTCATACCACTACGGCATCGGGAATCGGACTTTTTAATTACGCGCTCACCAGAGCGTGAGCACACGGCGCTGTGCTCACGCTCAAAACAAAAAGTAAACCTACATTTAAAAGAGATTTTTGAGTCACGCTAGCGCGGGCCACTACATTAGAGAATACAAAAACGAATATCCCTCCTGCTCAACATCATGAAGTCCGTGCCAAATCGAGGCGTACATATTCATGACATTAGGCAACCAGAACTGCAGCATGTGGAGGCCGTAGACTCCACTTGAGCGAGGCGTTGACCATGTGTCAACTCAACGGCTTGCATTTGCACGCACCCTCCACTTCATGCTGGAGATTGATAGGAAAAAAATATTTTGCATTACAGACGTTTGTTACGTTAAAAGAAGTTCATAATTGTAATGCTCTGTCATTGGAACTATTTTAAGGTTTATGAAATCTTGTAATGTGGGAGCGTTAAACTCCACATTGCACATAATTCGCATGATTTTCTTCTGGAGCATATCCAGTGATGGATATTTGTAGTTGTTGTGCTACACAACAATAAAGCAGTAATTATAGCAAGAGTAAAACAGGGAGTTATAAAGAAGGACTAAGACCGATAAGGGTAAGATATGTGTCTCCATCTTTTAAATACTGGCAACACCTTTTGAAAGTCCGCGATCTATACATTGGACTTTGCGTCCCTGCTCATGTACCTATTAAATATTACACCGAAAACCTTCACTTTTTTACAAAGTAAATATTTTTCTTTAGAAAGAAAGCCCTTGAGTAGATGAACACACCATTTATGAACAGAAAAAGTATTTCATTAATCTTATTTGTATTATTACTGGACAGTTTGAGATCTTACAGTAACTTATCTTCTGCAGAAAGCTATTAGCCGCACATAAAACCTGGTGGACAAATTCACCCGGAAAAAATAAACTAGTGTCGTCCGTGTAAATGATAAAACCTGGACTGTATTTAATATTTACTGAGTTATTTATGTACAAGTTGAACAGAAGGAGTCCAAGGAAACTCACCTGCGGCACCACTGACATGAGTTTCCTTAAGCTAGATTCCTGACTTTCTATCACGACACACCGATGCCGATACTTTGAAAAAAAATGCTCTCGAGAATCGTTGAGGCTACTCCTTGCATTCCGCATGCATTTAATTTTAGAGCAGATTTCAATGGTTGATGTTGTCGAAAACTTTGAAAATCAATAAAAAACCCAAGGTAAACAATTTCTTTGTGGCATTGTTTAAAATTAGCGATTTTTGTTTTATTAGCGCGATTTCCGTTGAATTCTCTTTCCTAAAACCAATTGGCAAGATGTTAGGACATTGTTCTTATCACCAAAGGTGCATCATATGGAGTGTATATTTTTCTGTTGCCATTTTGAAAACACTTTCACCACAGGAAGAGGTCAGTAATTTGATTGGTTGTTTTTATGCTCAGACTTGAAAATAACCGTAACCTTAATTGCATTCATCTTTTTTTTTTCGTTCTATGATACAAGGCAACTAGCGCAACTGAGAAGATTAAGATATTTTGTCAACAAAAGGAGAAATTTATAATATTGTGAATCTGGCCTACAGGATTCGACGCAAAGAGCCTGTAAAGCAGCGGAATTAAAACTGCACGCTTCCAAAATATTAATTACTGTCTTTGGATTTTTTATGACTATCATTTGAAATATTCTCAGGAAACATTGCGATGTCTGTTGTTTTTCTGCTATTTTCGGATATTCGCAAGTCGTTGATACCCAATAAATTTGGTGATGCGCAATATAAAAAGCGCAGGCTCACGGAGACTTATTTGTATGTGATTGGTTTAGTCTGTGATATCATACCTGTAACGTCGATTAGCGCTCTGAGAATGCACTTTTGGCACTGCTTGATTGGCTCTGTCGGTGGCTTTGGTGGGACTTAAAGTGAAACGGAGTCCACATGCCACCGTTGATGGCGAGTGATACTTAGTCCTCCACACTTAGTCCCTGGGTGGCAGTCGGGGCTCGTAGTTGGTTCCTCTATAAAGCCTATTCCTCCTTATGTGTAATTACGGCACCACGTCTGAAAGACGAAAGGTGTGGGCGCAAGGGAGCTGCTGCAAGTTCATAATTGTAGATTTACCTGAGCCCCTGGTGATGACACAAAAATAAAGATGGAAAGATGTCTCGACCGCAGCTCACATTTTATTGCCACAAATCCATTTAAAGGAGCTTTGAGACAATTTTCAGACTTTGGCCAATTAACTGCGGAAATTATTCGCCGTCACCTATGAAACGAAAAGCAGGAAACCGTATTTTCTTGCGAGCGCTACTTCTAATTTCAGAAAAACAAGGAAACAAGTCAAAGGTCAATGTGCCTCTCTACTCTCCACGTCAACTTTCGAGTGACATACTCTGGGGGTTCACGTAGTTTCTCCTTGGGTCCTCTCTTCAAAGACCAGCCGCTTCCTCCGCGATTGTCCACTTTTAAAGGATCAGCATCGTCGAAGGTCGCGGCGAGCAATCGACACAAAGGACGATTCGCCACGGGGCTGATGGCGAGTGTAACAGCGGAGGGGGACAGGTTTTTTTACTTCCGCGTATCACCCAGAGACGGTGTCATTTAAGTTTCCGTGACCCCGGCAGGCGGCTGCAGACCAAAAATAATTCGTTTTTTGCTTTGCTATTACTCTGCAGAATAGCATTTTTTTTAGGAAAGGTGACACGTTATCGGTCACTAGTGCTTGCATAAACAATATAAAAAATGTAAACCGCCAATTATTGCAACATTGAAATCATTGCACTGCCCCTTTAAGTACGGTCTAAACTAGAAAAGACAATGGGGAACCGGGGAAAAGGGGAAACAATCGCAAACTATATACTCTCAGGAGTAAAACACACAGTACGAAAACCAAGTATCTCTGTCAGTTTGAGGTCAAAAAGGTGGTGAAGCTAGATGCTCGAAACGGTACTTCACAGACCGAACAAGCACATACAAAACAGGCTACTTCAAAGCCGTGTGTTCTAGAAAAGCACCCATTTACACAAAAACGTAAAATTTGCTACGAAAGACCAACACAAAAACGACACAAGTTTTATACAAATGTTCTCCTCCCCTCCCTTCCCACAGAAGTTATAGGTCAAGAGATATTTTCTATACGGCCTCCAAACATAGGGACGACTTATCCACTGTGTTTCTATGGTTTCCGTTCATAATTGACAATTTCAAGTCATGTTTCTGGCCATTTTTGTCTGTTAAAATCACAGAGGTCGTCAAATTTTGCAACGGTACCAAAATTTGATTTTCTTGGGCGTGCTTTGAAACCCCCAATACGGATCCTTATCGTGGACATGCACCGTCTATGTTTGGTCAAACGGTCACGGACGCTGAGCGTGGTCTGACCAATATAGCAAAAACGAAATTCAGATGTGATTTTGTAGACAGTCCTTGAAATACGCGCGAAACGTTTTTCTTCGTGTGTGTCTGTGTGTTTTTTTAAGGCAACATATTGGGCCGAAGTGGACGAAGTCGATCTTTTCAAGGTATTGTCTAGGATAAATGCCGCACGGGGACCAAATTCAGGAAGATTTGAGGTTATGGGGTACTCAAAGAAAAAACGTGAAGACAGCGTGCTTTTCCTGCCCGGAAACTCTTTTAGCCTTTTTTTTTTTTTTTGGACAGAAGCTTTTGAAGGTATTTTACTTCGTTGAGACGGCTGAACAGAATTTTGAAGACTCCGCTATAGCGCTAGCACCGAATTTTCGGACTGCGTTACTTATCAGATTGCGAACCGGACCCGACTTGGCAGTTTTTGAATGGCAGTTGGTGTGAAGGAAAGGATTGGTCTTGCAGTCGCCTGCACGTTTGTGAGGTGACCTTTTTTTTATATGTTTGTTCGGACTGTGAACTATAGGTTGGACAATTCAGCTTCACCATCTTTTATAGCGCAGTAATAAGGCGCCCGTTTCCGGCTTGAGTGGCGTCGCCGTCGCCGTCGCCGTCGCCGTCTGCATAACCGCACGCTGCATTACGGGTGAATTTCCCCGGTAAATCCAGCGTAAAAACTTCCCCACTAAATGTACGGGAAAATTTTTTCCGCTAAATCTAGCGAAAAAATTTCCCCGCTAGAATCAGCGGGAAAATTTCTGTGCTGAATCTAGCGCAAAAGTCACGGCGGGGGTCACGTAACCCCCGCCGTGGTCACGTGACCCCCCGAAGTCACGTGATACCCCCCGGTCACGTGACCCACGAAATCACCTGACCCCCACGTGACGTTGGGAAGGGAGTCACGTGACCTTGGGGGTCACGTGACCCCCAATGTCATGTGATTACACCCCTAGGTCGCGTGACCCCCCTCCCCCCGAGAACACGTGACCCTAAGTACCCTTCCCTCCTCCCCCTCAAGAGCTGCGCTCTAATTCGGCGTTACAGGGAGTTGTAGACGGCTGTCATTTTTTTTTTAGCTTAATCTGCCGGATAGACTTCGTGTTCGTACCTTGTGTTTTGTCCATGAGAGTGTGCTATTGGTGTTTTTTTCCCCTTTTCCGTGGCTTCCTTTTCTCTTCTCATGTTCAGGGAGGCCATATGTAAATGGATTTGTAGATTCAAATAATGTTCTACTGAACTCGTTTTATTTTTCTGAGGGACTACACAAGAATGACGACATTAAAACTACGAGGAATGTTCATGCGTCCTAACCGGGCGCTGCTCGCAAGGCGTCTGCTTTCTTCTCCTCTCTTCTCTCTTGCCGTGGGGCGACTTGAGTTGTTTAGTCTACCCCCACGGAGGTCTGGCCGTCTGGCCCGCAACGGGGCCCCCGAGCTGGTGTCGGGTATCCCCGGTGCGTGCCAGCCTCCTCCGCGGCTCGAGGGAGCGTGTTGCGGGCAAGACGGTGCTGTCGCTGCAAGCCTCTAGATTCAATGGCAATAATATTTCAGCTTTATTTGAAGCGTCATTTTTTTCTTCCTGCCGTGTTTTCTGCCTTCATTGCAGCCTCGGTTAATGATACAATTATGTAACGCAACGTATCAAGAGATAGCTGAGCTTGCGATCGTGTCAGAATTTCGGGGAAATAGGAATTGATAGAGTAAATGCCGATATAAACCTTCTCCCTCGTTATTAACTTGACGCGCCACAAGCGGATACTTAAAATTTAAAGATTCAAGGCCCTACACCGGCTCATTAAAAAACAGAAGCCAAGAAAAACTTATCATCAAACTGTGAATGTAAAGAACTCTCTCCACTCTTGAAGAATTTAAACTTGCCTTAATAATTCTGATCAATCCGAAGTTCAAAGGTGTATGTTGAGTGTGCAGTGAATCCGAAACCAGTAAATGCTCCCCCAACCAGCACAGAAATTCATAACGCACGCATGACACACGTAAGGCTCATTCTGTGTTCACCGGGTTTTCTCAAAATTATCAAAGCAAGTTTAATTTTGTTTTTCATCCAACATATTATTCAGAAAACTAAAAGCTTAAACGTATTATGTTTACTATTTAAAAAAAAAGCCTGCTTGCATTGCATACATTTTTTTACGTGCCTGTAATTCTTTCGTAAACAATGAATTCTTTTTGCATGGCTAAACCAAAACACCAATCCCAATTTTTTTTCTTTACGAATGTATAGTTTTATATTCTTATTTTGGGTACAACCTTTCAGTTATATGAACCTCTGCGTTATAAATAATAAACAATTACAAATCGGATATATGGCACCCAAAGAACGGTGAAAAGTTCTTCATCGCTGCACATTCCCAATAAGAATCTTAAGCTTTTCAATTTTCTTCAGACTATCTACCTGTTTCCGATGAGACGGATGAATCATTAAACGAACCAGATGAAGACCTCAAAGATTTTGTGGATTATGAGAGTTCAGCAGAAGAAACGAAGGATGCGTCACCACGGAAACGAAAGCGCATTTTCTTACCTTTTTTCCCAGAAAACTTGAGGGAAAGAAATATATCCTTAATTACTAACGAACAGTGCGAACGACAGCTTCGACAATTTACCACAACTGTTCCAAAGTACGTCATATGCTCCGAAGAGGGAATGTGCAAAGTAAGTATGAATTATTGTATATTTTCCTGAGAATAAAATGTACTTGGTCGGCAGCCGCACAAAAAATTAAATGACCCCTCGTGCCATGAGTCCCTCACATGCATTCGAAACTGAGTTGAACTATGTCTTTTTCGCCTGAATATATCTAAAAAAAGTTTTACCTGCAGCTTTGGGTGTAAAAAAACTAAGAACTGTACTCAACTCGGAAATGCGACATATTGGTTCAGTTTCCCGCTGAATGAAAGTTTGTTAATGACAACTTGGGATTACAAAAGAGGCATCGGAACTTGAGTTAGAACTTTATGAAACTGTATTGGACTGATCCCTTCTAAAAGAAGCTGAAAACGCTATGTTGTTTGCGTATTCAGTAGATGTTTTGCAAATTTGCAAGTTAACATTGTGACATTCCTGGCACCAGACTTCGAGAATGTATCAAATGTAAAGAAATCTAAAGAACTGCACAGTGCTCACCTTACGTAACAGCTGTTGATAAAAACGGTTGCAGTCCTTATTGAAGATTAGTACTAAACCATAAAATAAATACGTATGATGAAAAAAAAATTAGGGGCTATCGGCCGAGATAAAGGACTCTGAATCGTGGAAATCTGAAACTCAATTGTAACATTACGCTAGTTGTGCTATAATGCATAACCTTAAAAGCAGGACGTTACTTGCATAAAATACTTGCAGGAAATGAACAACAAATAGGGGCTGACGTCCCCCTAAGCTTCATATTTATAAAAGCAAAAATAAACATCTCAAATGCCGGTAGCAGTAGTTTTAGTATTAAATGGACAAACTTATAAAAAAAAACAGCAAACACTGCTTTATTTGATAGAGAAAACAGCTCAGAAAACACAGACTGCGAGGAGGAGCATAAACAAAAAGACAACGCTGTATGTTGTGCATGTCCCACTTCGTAGTCTGTGTTTTCTGAGCGGTTTCCCCATCATGAATAACGTGCACCAACTGGCCCAATTTACCAGCTTATTATTGTTTTACTTGTTGACAATTCTTCAATAAATTCAACAAAAGCCCCCAGTGCCATTTCCTTGATTTTACAAATATTTGGCTTAGGTGGGAATCGGCTCACAAGCAAATTTAATTTTTCTCTCGGTTCTTTTCATGAAGGTAATGCGATCTCAAACTTTGTCGTTTTCTAATTAGCACTAGCGTTGCATTGTCATGAAGTTTCAACTTTCGGCGATGCTTAGTTTATTTGCACAGCCCCGAAACCGGGTGCCGCGTTTCTCAATATAACCCCGTAGAATAGTGATACCAGACCGAGGGTGAGCGCCCTTAGTTGTCGATCCGTTTCAGTGAAGTATTCACGATCTGTTGTAGCAACCACTAAAGGTGGCCAAAGCGTACAATTGTGAACGTCAAAACAAAGAAACGAACATATAAAAAAAAAAAAAAACTTCAAATAGAAAGCGTTATCAATGGAGGCCCTTCCGAGTGTCTTTATGAAGGCGAACGAATATTTTCTGTACCTCACCAAATGGGGCGGAAGTAGATAGAGAATTATACATGTTATTTCATTTCGATACAAATATACTTGTCTTAAAAATAGAACAACTGTCGAACGAGTACAGTCTTCCCCATTTAACTATCAGGCTTGGCGGACATCAGGTAAGGGAGAAATTGTCACGGCAAGTTAGCTAATTCACTAAAATCTAATATTTCGCTTTTAATTATTTGTTTTATGGATGTTACAAACCCAGTATCGGCTGCAAGTAAAACAGGAGGCCACAAAACTTTAAAAGAAATTGCGAAAAGCAATGGCTTGTTAGGCGTGGATCAATCTTCCATTTGGCTTCCTGGTTTTTTTTATTTTTCTTTAGGGGGCGGGAGGGGGAATGGAAGGGCACTTTTGAATTTGCGCGAAAAAATAACACCGAAAAAATTCAACAATCAGGCTTAAAAGAATGCACGTGTTCATTTCAGTCACGTCATTACTAGTTCAGCAGCATATCCACGATGACTGCGCCGTCGACACAGTGCCGTAAGAGTAACGACTGAAAAGACAGCGTCACTCTTCTAGGCGGCTTTGCCGAGCAGGGTTTAGGCGCTCTATAAAAGCCCAATTTTAAAATCTGGCAAAAAAAGAAACTGAAAAAAACAATAAATAGATTTGTTAAAAACCATTTTTTTATTTCATTGAATTGGTAATGACTCTAAGAGGTATTAGAGTAAAGATTGCAATCGTTACATTGTTTGTAAAACCTCTTCTTAAAATTTCGACCTATACTGGTTAATTATCCGCCTTATTGTGACGTTTATTTCATCCTATGTCCACTCAGCTTGACAAGTTAAAGGTCAAGACAACCGGCGTGTAACTCTCGACCTTAAAAAAAAAAAAAAAAAAGTTGTTTAAGTAAAATTTAGACACCCTGTGGAAGGAAGAAAACAGGAATTCGCCAGAGTTCAGTCAAAGAAGCCACTGCACGCACTGTCACGTGCAACCGTCTGCTTGGAGATGTTGTCGGATAGCACTCGCGAAAAAGAATTTTGTTGTGTTTTTGAAGCATTGGTAAAACCAGCAATGACTTGCGCTTTGGAGTAGAATTGTGGTCCATTTAGCCTCTCCTAAAGGGTTCGAGAAACTGAGAGTCACATGGTGGCATGTCCGGAATGTAATCTGGATAGAGGAAACCTCCCATTCTATCTGAGCTAATGCATCCAGTACAATAGTCGCAACATGATGACCAGTGTTGTCGTGCACCAAAAACATACCAGAAGAGAGCGTGAAGAGTCTCTTTTTCCCAATGGCTCTATGATGCGTGCGCAACGGGCCCCTAAATGTAGCTTTTAGCACATGATTTTCAGGCCAGCCACTTTGAATTTTCCCAGAAAAAGCCCTTCATGATCAGGCTCACCTTAAACGGACACCAAATTGCACCTACCATGTTGTAAATGGCGTCCACTATAAACCAGAATTGCGGCGAAGTTGAATAATTTCTCTCTTGTACTTCTGTCTGTACTCATCGCGATAATTTCAACCTCATCGGTCTCCTCGTTCGCCTGTGTACTTGACACGACATAAAAGGGTTTCGTTTATTCCCGTCTTAGAAATAATTTATTACACTTCGCTTTGAATTTCAGAAAACGGTAGAAACTGTTCGGACTGTTTCAGTGTGGTATTGCCGTATACCACAGAAAGCATTCTGTCTCGGTATCACCATTCTTCGAAAAGAAAACACAATTGATGTACAATCTTTTTCGCATGCAGATTGCAAATTGGTGTCGCCGAGTGAAATTGTTGACCTCGGGCGGCAACCGTTTTTATTTCAGCAACTGTTTTTTTTTTCTCCAGAATGCACGGGTCAAAAACGTATACATATAATGAAAAAAAAAAAAAAATTACAAAAAAGTGAAGGCAGTTAGTACGGCGTGAGACACCAATTTGCTGCCCTGAATCAGCTGGAGGAATTTGTTCCGATGATATCTCCTCTTTATTTATATCAGCTTTCCGAAAATAGTTCAATAATAATTTTTTTGTTGTTTTCAGGGAGACAGCGGAGGACCGTTTATGTACGAAAAAGAAGGACAATGGTTCCTTGCTGCTATTCACTCTGTAAACGCTGCATGCGACTCTCCTTCTCTGCCATCACACCATATTAGGGTGTCACATTTTGTTCAAAGTTTTATTTTACCCGTCATGCAGGATTCGGAATCAACGAAACATAACTTTTGTATGACGGACGAGGCTCGAAAGGAATGTGTAACTACATTTTATAAGTCTTACAACGTGACATTCAATAGATGATTCAGTAGTAGACGACGAAGCTACTTAATTAAAACGTTAACAGGTTACCATATACTCTTGTCATGTATCTTCAATTCACTTCTAGTAATGAACCTTTTAAGCAAGGGTTTGGGAACAAATTGACACTAGTGACAATTAACACACTATACGTCTAAGTTTACTCACGGGTTTTTGTTGATATTGCTGGAACGTTCTTCATTACCCTGTTATATATAATATATGTTCATGTATACCATACACACATACAATGCACCATTGGCGTCTGCATCGGTGCGAGCCTAAGGATCCGCCATTGCCGTCACGGCGGTCTGGCTGGCTGTCTGGTACCAGCGCCTCTGGCTGCTGCAAAGTCGTCCGCCGAGGCGTCGTCGTCGTAGACGAACTCTGCCAGCTTTATCGACAGCAGGGAAACGATCGCCTTGTCACGACTGGTGGGCAGAATCCAACCGACGTACGTCGCCGGACGGATCGTGTCAGGGAGTTCCTCCAGTTTCGTTTTCCGAAGGCGAACGTGGCACTTGCTCTCCCAGACAACAAGGGCAGCCGTCGCGGTCCTGAGGCACCGGCGACACACCCCCTCGTGAGGGTCGTCGTTGGAGAACTTATGGCGCAGCGCCGGGGATAGGAAAGGGTTGGTCGCGAGGCGACGAACGAGGGTCTGAGTGCTCCTCGATAGGTTATTCGGCATCGGAGGAACGGGACGCAACTGCTCGTCCGGGCGCTCCTCCCGTTCCTCACGTAGGTGCCGCAGGGTCCTCCGCCTTCGCTGTTGAGCACTTTCCTTGACGGCAGACGGGTCGGCCGGGCCGGCTGCCTCGCCGGCTGAGTTGTGGAATGCGTTCGGCGCGGATGCCATCTGGCGTACTGCTGCTCGCGCCTCGTTGCCGTTGACGCCCGCACGGGCAGGCAGCTAGGAAATTGCAGCTTGGATGTTGCGATTCCTACGAAGTTTTAGAAGCGCGGCGAGCAACTCGCCAACTATTCTCGTGTACGTTGAGGGGCTCCCGCAGGCTCGTCTGCAACTTTCGTACGCGCTAGTCGATTCGGTGAACAGTAGGAGCCTGTGTGGGATGTCTGTTGGTGCAAATGTTTGAAAAACCCACTGGGATGCTCGGGGTTTTGTCACGAATTCCGCTTCCGTAGTGTCGACGTTTTCAGTGGTTGAAAGTAGAGCCGCGTTCGGAATGCCATGGGTGGTGTCGACCCACGCGATAGCCTCTCCTTCGCCTTTGTCGCCGGCAGTCGACAGCAAGGTTTCCGCCATGTCAGTGTAGATTATGGCGTGCGTAGGCGGTGATTTGTGCGCGACGCTACGTGTGTGCGCTTTGTCAAAGCGTTTGAGTCGTTAGGAGTTAGTCGGTCCAGGTCCCATGTTTCGGGGGAGGGGTTTTCCGTCGGTAAGCGTGACCGGGGCAGTCCACGGAGGAGGCGAGTGCGCGTCTGCCGGGCGGACGTCCAGACTCGGACACACGAGGAGCTCTTCTAATATAGAAAGTCCAGCTGTCGAGATGCTGAGGCGGTCTCTCTGGCCGATTAGCGCCCGTTCAGCGAGTTCCGACAGGAGGTTCATGCCGCTGTGTGCGTACAGCTCCCAGAGGTGCGTGTTCTTAGGCAGTCTGGTGACGATGCGCATTGCCTCGCGATTGAGTTTCCCGAGTTGCTCCGCCTGCCTGAGCGTGAGGACGTGATAGGTATAGCCGTAAAGGATACGGGATTCGAGCAGCGACGTATCGAGCTGGCGCGTTTCTCTCTCCCGCGTGCCCCACTGCGTGATTCTACGGATGAGGTGGAGGAAGGATTTGCACGTCAAGACGACTTCCGTCACCCACGTGGTGCCGTTCCCATCTTGATCTATGTGGGCTCCCAGGATCCGTATGGAGGGGTTTCGCCGTATTCACTGGCCGGCCATGCTGAGGGCGATTTGGTTGTGGACCGCTTCGGTCTTTCTGCGGGGCCCGTTGAGAACCACGACGTATTCGGTCTTCTCGGCCCAACGCGCTCATACCCACATCTCAAAGGAAGCCCTGTATGACGTCGAGGCCAAGCTGAATCGTGTGCTCGTGTTGCCCGCCGATCCCGTCGTTACGCAGATGGTGACATCGTCGGCGTATACGGCGAAGCGCAGCGACGGAACCGCTTCAAGGAGCGGGGGAAGTCTTGCCGTGACCAGGTTGAAGACGGTGGGCGAGAGGACCGCGCCCTGCAATACCCTGGTCCTGTTCAGTTGATGGGGTCCGATGAAGTCACCGGCTTTGATCTAATATATTTGGTCGTTCAGGCAAGTCTTAACGAAACTGAGAAGGTGGCCGCACACTACGGCAAGCTCTGAGCTCTGGATGGCCGCCTCGTGAGGGACGGTGTTGAAGGCCTTGCGAACGTCCACCGCCACCACCGTTCTCATCAGCAGTTTCAAGTAGGCGTCAAGGACTTCGTGGTGCAACACAAGGAGAATGTCTTGCGTGCTAATCCCGTGGCGGAATCCGAGTTGATATGGGTGGAGCGAGAGTTCCTCTCAAGGTGCCACAAGAGTCGCTCGAGCACCATACGTTCAGTGAGTTTACACAGGTTACTGGTAAGGGAAATCGGCCGGAGGATATTGAACCTTTGGTTCAGAGCACTGGCGTCCCTACTGAAAAAAAACATTTGGCGCCTAATGAAAATAAACGGGTTCATACCGGTAACAGTTTAACCATACCGGTCACCAGTTTGTCAAAGGGGTCGCCCGTATGGCTCAAAGGGGTCCCCCGTATGAGCCATAACGGTCACCTATTTGGACAAACAGGTCACTCCTTTGGCAAACGGGTCGCTCGTCTGGGCAAAAGGGTCGCTCGTTTGGGCAGATGGGTGACTCGTTTGGGCAAAGTTGTCGCACGTTTGCTCAAACCGGTGACCATTTTGCAAACAGCATCGGTTTAATCAAACGGCTCTCCGGAGCCCGTTTGATACTGAACGTACAGATCGGCGGCGTGAGCACGCCTAGCGTTTCAGCTGTGGCAGCCAATGTTTCCGGAAGGCTGGGAGCGGCGGTTCATCGATTTCAGATTGTCTGCGTAATGCAAGTAATTATATTTATATTTTAATTGCGCTGGTGTTCGCTTATACTGCAACTTAGACTAACATCTTTTTTTTGTTGTTGTTGTTGTTTTACGTAAACGCGCGACGTTGGTAAGCCGATATTTTTGACAGAACTTTAAAAGTTTGTCCATCTTTGTTGCCTCAATTTACTTATTCAGCTCGAATCTCTCTCGCAGAAGACGCGACCGCGTGAAAGAATGTTCGTCTAGACTCCGTTTCACTTTAATTCAAGACGCAGCGAAGGTAGCACGCGTACACGCGGCTACCTTTGCTACATCGGTCCGAACGCATTTCTTCTAATCCTCAATTGCGCGCTTCTGAGGATGCTGTTATTGTTGACCTGTTGATGAAGCGGAATTATCCGAAACGTTTTATTGATAACACGCGCAAACAGATGGGCCAAGGAAGAAGTCAGGATAATGGACGACTTAGGGCAGGGCAAGTAACAATACCCTATTTGAGAGGCGTTTCTGAGTCCATTCGCAGGGCCCTCGCCCCTTTGAATATCCGCACTGCTTTCAAACCCCACCGTAAACTACGCGACCTCATTTCTAAACCTAAAAATTACCCCCCCCCCCCCCCCCCCCCCCAGAGTCCCAGTGCGGTGTTGTGTATAAAGTGCACTGTCTAAACTGTGACGCATCCTACATTGGGGAGACAGGCCGGAAGCGCTGCACTCGCTTAAACGAACACAAAAGGGACGTGGCGAAGGCCACGCATGCGACGAGAGCGAAGACGGAACTCGTAGACCATTGTTGGAATACGGGTCACTGTTTCGACTTTGAGAATGCGTCCACTCTGGCGCGCGAACAAAGGTGGGGTCCACGCAGGTTCGTGGAATCATGGTTCATCCGAAGTGACTCATCAGCTTGGAATTCCAACCGCGGCCCCCTCCCCGATGTGTACGCGGACTTGCTTAAATAGGACTGTTGAAGTTTTTTCCCCCATTCCTGCTTGTAGGTTTCACTGACGATGTTTCCCGCATGGGAGACGAAAGTTTTGATTAAATTGTTAATCTTGTTGGGTAAAGTCGGAGCAGTTTTTTTGTCCATTATATCCATATACAGGCAGCGAGGTCACCGCCGTAAATGAGCAGGAGTGGGTATTGAACCTGGGATCCCTGGGTTCTGCTCGGCGAGCTTTCGCTATACGCGTTCCGAGCTGAGGTGCGCCGACGCCTCCCTCGTGGGCCTTGAGGTAACTTATCGCGATCCAAATAGAATTCGCGCCGTAGCGTGTGTGTGCGCATATTTTGGTATTCCGCTCACGCGCTTTGATTTTTCAGCAACACAAGAGCTTGCCTATTCATGACCTTAAAGCAGTGCAGCGCTGATGAAATTCGTGGCCTTTGTCAAATTGTTGTCGCATATCTGTGTTTCTAGTAAGACAAAGAAAATTCGAGGGACATTTACACGGTGTAAATTACATCGCTTTACTGTCCTAGCGCTCCAGTCAAAGCGCTGATTTTTATTTAAATACATATGAAACGTTGGAAAAGGTTCGCCAATCTGCTTTCATACTCGGCGATGGCGACTCAGCAACCTCAACCGCATGCTTATACGGAATGAGGAACAGTAGCAAATGCGTGTCAGTCACGCCAAAACCCGAATTGAAACCAAAACCAAGAAAGTCTGGACTAGTCGACGAATCGCACAAAGGTTAGTTCTTCCCACGCCCCCCTGATATCGTTCTCGTCATTTCCACAGACAGACGTTTACGAGTTTAGCCCATAATATTTGTGGGTGTAGGCCCGTTTGTCATGTGCGCATTCGTCATAGGCCAACTGGTAATAGGCCCGTTCGTCACAGCGGAACATTCGTCATAGGGGAATTTGTCCCCAGGAACGTTAGTCACTGTGCGAACCGGATATTTGAATTTGCCCAACATATATTCACCTGGCTGTGCATGCAGTAAAGATTAGTACG